TGGCAGATCCAGACTCCTCTGTCCTCTTTTCTGAAATGGGCATTGATGGTTACCTTGGGCAGTGTCTGTGTGTCTCTTTAACGTGTCAGCTGCTGATAAGATAAGGAGCGACTGGCTGAGAGATGCTCCACCGGTGGGGAGTTGCATTGCCTACATGGAACAAAAGCTGCTTGCTTGGGATTACACCGAGAGACGTGACGAGGATCCCGTGGATTAGCGATCGCACACAAGTCAAAGACTTCACATTGACCGTCAAGAAAAGTAAGTGCCCTTGGATAGGACGCGGCACTGTAATGGATGATGGCCGGTGGTCGAGACTAATGATGGAGTGGCAGCAAAGGAGGAAAACGCACCAGAGAGGGCTTCAACTGCAAAGATGGGGCAATCAAATGAGCCCCTATGCAGGGGCATGCTTGTGGGACTCATCACACAGAGACCCATAGACTCACACAGAGACCCATAGACTCACACAGAGACTCAAAGACACACAGCGACTCATAGACTCACACAGATACCCATAGACTCACACAGAGACTCATAGACTCACACAGAGACCCATAGACTCACACAGAGACCCATAGACTCACACAGAGACCCATAGACTCACACAGAGACCCATAGACTCACACAGAGACCCATAGACTCACACAGAGACCCATAGACTCACACAGAGACCCACAGACTCACACAGAGACTCATAGACTTGCAGAGACACATAAACTCATCACACAGACACCCATACTCATCACACAGAGACCCATAGACTCGTAGAGATCCATAGACACACAGATCCATAGACTCGCACAGATACCCATAGACTCAAATACGCTGCTACTGCTGCTAATGCCACTGCTGGTACTACTGATGCTCCTACTACTCATGCTACTACTACTGATGCTGCTACTGATGCTGCTACTGCTGCTGATGCTGCAACTGACGGTTGGGGAAGGACTTCATCCAGCAGTGGATAAGTCATACGCGATGATGCTAATGATAATTGTTGGCTGCATGCAGCGGTATTTGTCAGAGCTCGGAGTACGCTGCCGTCACGCGAACCCTTAACAAGGAGCTAGCTTTACGTAAACGTTAATTATTTTGCTCTTTAAAATGAGAAAGCTCTTCTCTGCGAGCAACAAAAATATTTCTACCGTTTCTAAGAAAGCCACATGAATAACATTTACTGTTCCAGCTGATGCACACTTATCCACAAACTACCCAATTTATAAGTACTCTATAATTATACCAGTCAAATATATGTTTTTTTACAAATATGTTCATGAGCTAAAACAAAATAAACAGCGGTATACGTACCTCAAGGGGCATAATGGAATTTGCCTAATTGTGCATTTTTGTTAATGGCACATTCAAACTCAGATATATGCATTTCGGATATATAGATAAAATCTGCTTTACTTAATGGGGAGAGATAACTTTGCGATGCTATTTTTCTGACAGGAGAATTTGATTTGTGAACGGGTTCTGTGCTGGTGCTGCACATGCAAAGAAAGTTAAATGGTAAAATGAGAATATTAAATGTGCGTTGATAAGAACACATTGTATATGTTCATGAAAATTATTTCAAGTTGTCATTTACAAAATATTTATTCTCAGTTATTTTTAACTTGCATATGAGCACGTTGATGGGAAATCGAAACTTCGATCTTATCTAGGAACAAAAGTCTTCATTATGCAGAGATGTGACCAATGTTGTCACTCCTCGGCTTCCAAAATGTGATTGTAATTATTCGTCCTCGGTTTCAAAGGATTTTAGAAATCCTCTTAAACGTGACAATATAATTGTGCCAACTTTGATCTAAACGGCGTATATGGTAATTAATGGCGGGATATAAGCAGCTGATTGGAATTCATTACAAAAATCTCAATAACAATCTACCAAAAAAGCGGAGTTTTAATAACACATACAAATGCAATGTTGATGTAAAGCATACATTAAGATTTATTAGGCAGGATAAATTTGCTTTCAAATTGCCTAATGAATTCAATGCATCTCAGCGCATAATTGAATTACCATCGGCATATCAACGAGACCATTCACGCAGCCATTCACACCCAAGACAAGATGGACACGCGCATTGGGTAAACATTCGAGAGCGGACTGCTCGGACATTTATTTGCGCACGCTAAAAAGACAATAAATAATCCAGTAAATCTAACCTAACAGGGACAAAAAAAATAACAACCACATGCCAACAAAAACCACAAGCTTTAAGAGCGATTTGGTGTGAGTGTGACGCGCAAATGTAACCGAACTGACCCTATTCGGGTCAGCTCAGCCCAAGAGGGAGTGGTGTAGCCAGAATGGAACATACTCTCTGGTTCTTTCGGTAAAGTCACGTACATAGAAGAAAAGATAATCAAAGAAAACACGACGTTTCGGTCGCAACACAAGTGTCCGTCTTCAGGTGAGAACGGAACGTGTGCTGAGCTGCCTCTGTCTCCCAGTTGCCAGCTGTGTGACACACCGCACTCCGTAAGGCTTATTTCGAGCTGAGTCAACGTAAAGGGAGCCCCCATGCCAGGTTCAAATACCTTGGGTTGCCAGATTCAAAGTGCAATGCGTGAACCACTACATTCACACTGACCCCACACAAAGACAAAGGTCCCCCTACATCGCCATGCAGACCGTTGGTGCAAGTGCTGTTAACGCACGGGATGGTGGAGGTGGCCAGCACCACAACGGGCTATTATCTGCTCTCCGCTTGCCCCGTGCTGATGTTTATACACTACACCAAGTACTAATTTAAGCCTGAGTCGACCTAGGAGAGGGCCCAGGATTCGAACGGATCCTGTTTTAATTGCTGATTTTTTTGGGCCTGTGCGCCAATGTAACTCGGGTCGCCAGGTTCGTAGTACAGCGCGGTAACCATTACACTACCGCTCCCCACACACACACACATATCCACACGTACGTATATTAAAGCGCATTGTAATATCTCTGGACAGATGGGGACCAGAAATAGGATATGTGTGATGGTACAAGTTCGTGAGAATGACTGGAGGCTATAATTATCCCTTTTGGACTTTTGAAGTTGCCACTATTAATTAATCTTGCTTACCAATGTTTTTGTTCCCATCCGTTGCCGTGTGTTATCGGAAACGTTTTCTAATTAGGAGTATTATTAGAAACGGCTCGAATTGCTCCCTTTTTGATATCTTCAACTGAAGCGAGCAATATGTGGGAGCCACAACAAATAATTGCAACTGCATCATTCAGAAGAAATTCTATTTGGAAAGGGCCAGATAAGTCAATTGCCACCGGAGTACAGTGCGATTCTCCCGCTGACCTTTTCCAGTAACATCTTCCTGATGATTGTTGTAACAACGGCTCATCTATCAACATTTATCTTTGCTGTCAGTGTGATTAAGTTAGGTCTAACATTCCTAAGGGCTGATCTAAAAGAATAAGATAAAAATAGTAATAACAAGTTCAACAATCATTAGGATGTAGGACTCTTGACGAACGAGGGTGTGGGTTAGGCAGCGTGGCGTTCCCACCACGTGCCTATATAATCACGAGCGTGGCTCTGAAAAGTGGTTTCCGTCATTACGGCCCACATAATATCAGCGGGTGAACACAGTAATAAAATAAAACCGCTAAAAATGAATTCAGTAGAACTCCTCTTATCTGCCCCCAAATTACCCACGACTCCTATCGTCCGTGGGAGCAGTAGAGTTCATAAAGACTACAATTATCCTCACTTTCTCCCCGCCCCCGCAGATAACTCTGTGAATAATAAGATCCGTGACATTTGGTCCCCCAAATGACGACAGACTAGAGGAGTCCTCCTGCAAATGCAAACCGGCACAGGACTCTTAACCTATCGCAAAGAAACCGAAGTGAGTTGAACACATTGGCTTTCGCGACCAATGGCATTCATAGTACAGGTTTTTTTTGTGGTTATATTGCGTAAATATACGCGATCTAACCCAAACAACCTGCACTATAAACCCAAGTGAATTCCCCGTGTCGCTTGGGTTCACTCTTGGCAGCGCCGCCCTTGTTGACATCGCACTATGCCCAGGCGCTGTCGATGTTCCTGTTCATGAGTCTCCTTTTAAGGAGCACCGACCTCTACTGCAGATATATACAAAGTCGGTAACATTTTGGGAAACGGATCTTTTTTTTTTTTACAAAGTGAAGAGAGATAGGACAGACGTAACATGATGACAATTTAAAGGTGCATAATAGACGATTCTAATCATGACTTTAGGGCATGTAATTGCACATTGATTCGTCGATTCAAATCGATTATTACACACAACACATGCTTCGAATTATAGTTGTAATAATATAATAGTGCAAACATGAACCGAGCTAGAGGTGCAAGGAAAAGTTAGCCACAGGTGCAAGCAAGCGCTAAATTTTAGCCTTAACAGTGACACAAACACACGTGAATCGCACGGGACAGTGCAAACATTTGGGAGTAAGGGGCGCCGGATGAAAAGCTAGATGCAGGTTGCAAGTATTCTTTGGCAAAGTGTGGTCAAACATCCCCCTATGCATCGACGCAGCGCGAGGCAGGCCTTCACCTAGCAGTGGCATGACAAAGGACCTCTACATTTCAGCGAGCGGCCCCAGGCCTGATGGAAATTGAATATCCGTGTAGTTGTATGCACGCACTTACGTTTCCCAGTTGCTTAACAATTGCCTTTATCTCACATTTGCAGATCCGGCATGCGTGAGCCACCTTTACGTTGGAGTACCCGCAGGAATACTCAATGCCATAGCGTGGTGTGTGTGTGTGTGTCGTCTCGCCAAACCAAACGTCAGGAACTGCTGGGCTGGCCAGACTGTGTTGAGTGAGTGGCTGGCGTGACAATAAATATCCATTAATCAGCAACATCCTCTTCCAACTTAATGTTGTTGCTTTTTTTTCCATAAAAGACAAAGTGGAGATTACGGTCCGCTAATAATCTTTCCGGTACACATCATCAACCAGTGAATGTCAGGCAAAATATCAATTTCTTTAGAAGTGCGATTCAGGATAATCGACTGAGCACGCTGACAGCGTGTGTTTCAACACAGGTCTGACATCCTGTGAGTATAATCTAATGTGTCCGACCAAAATCGCTGTTAACCCTTTCCCATTCCGATGACGCGATTCGTTTACGTCATCGAAACTGAAATAAAATTACGACATCGGTACCTATTCAGGACAGAAGACATACCGAGGCTCCCACAAGGCCATGCGAGAAGGCATGCAGCACAGCTTGGCGCCAGCTGTCATCGATTGCAGCCGTGTCACTACAGTTCTCTGCGGTGAGTACAACGTCTTTTAAAACAACGGCGCTACGCCTCTCTAAACAAAATTAACGCTAACCGCTTGCGCGTTCCGAGATTCATCGGTGAACGGGACACCACCCTGCAACTTGCAGACGCCTCGGAACGGAAATGGGTTAAGCCGGCATTTGTTTGAATTAGCAGATGGCAAGGTGAACCTGTCTTCAAATATGAAATTAACTTGATTAGAGGGCAGTTAATGATTCCCTAACTCAATTGATCCTCTTGATGAAAGCCTACTTCACAATAAAATGCTGCCATATGTTAGCTAATTTGAATACAATAAATAATGAAACACAAAGTGCTTTGGAAAATATTTAGATTATCCGTGAATTATATATTCCTGTCTTAAAATGTCCATGTTTTAGCACTTATGTATACGAGCACGTAACAAGTTGTTAATATGAACAGCGCTTTGTCAATCTGCAGCTGGATGAAAGCCGCTCATGGGGGTTATTTGCCCATACTTCCCCATGCTAGTCAGTGTGTGTTAGTAAAGATGCAGTCCAGGACCGGTTCAGATACCACTCACCACTGATGTTAGCCGTGAAAAAGAATCAAATTCAGGCTCCGAGCAGTGTGCTAACCACTGCACCACTGCTGCCCGCACCCTGCTTTTCACCATAAATCAGCTGACTTTACAGCAATAATCACGTAACAAGGTAACTGTAAAATGATGTATCATTAAAGCTAATTCAGCTGATCATTTTCAGTCTGGGGATGGTAGGGCGAAGTCCACATTTTCGTAGTGCTCAATAGATCGCAAACTTCCTTGAACAACTTTGAAGAAAAATGTCGGCCTTGGACTGTAAGGAGACGTTCCGGGGCCCCTTGTCTTGCACATACCCATGAATGAAAGCGTCAGTAATCGACGCCACCGATTGATCCTGCAGGGGCCATGCTACGGCCGACCGTGACAGGTATTTTACTCCAAAGAGCAGATATGCATTTCCCCTCGACGTGGTGGGAAATGGCCCGAGGATGTCAAGAGCAACGAGCTCGTTAATGCGCGACACCCCAATAGACTACAACGGCGGTCGGGCTAGCCTTGGTGGGGGCTTTCGACGCGCGCACTCCACACATCCGTGAAGAATGTTGCGGACGTCATCACACATCCCGGGCCAAGATAAGTCACGCTTCAAGGAAGACAAAGTGTTTTGCTCACCAAGGTGCATCAGCCGTACATGGGCAGCTTTCACAACTTTACTCCGCAGGGCAGTTGGCACAACGATGCAGTGGCGCTGCACTTCTGCATCCCACCTCAAGCAGCCCATCCCGGACGACCGCTGGGGACATACCCCCTGGGCCCCTCCTGCTGCTCGCTGTACTAACGCAATTTTAAAAGGGAGGTGTCCTCCACCTGGAGGCGCCACCACTCGTCGAGCGCAAAACCCGATGGTGTTGTCGCGCGTGACCGCCGCTACAGGTAGTGCAACATCCACAGACGCAAGGCACTCCGTCACCTACCGGCTTACACGCCCGGACCCAGTCAAACACGCACACTGGCCTTGCTTCTGAAGAGGTTACTGCGGGGGGGGGGGGAGGGGGGTCCTCCTGACTCTGACCCCCTCGAACAGGGCTGTTAAGGGTCTCACGCACGTAGGGGCGCAAACGATTGTGAGGGAGGATCAGGAACTCTTTCTCCAAGTTGTGAATGCGGAGATGCGTACCGCGGTTGTGCAGGTGGGTACGGTTTTGGTCCACGCAATGGCGACGTGTTGTGCGGACTCCAGCGAAGTGGCCGCTCACGTTGGGGTTTCGGTGGAGTGGGGAGCGGCGACCGACGAGTCGTGGATGGATGCGTTGTGCTCGGAGAACCCGGATTTATCAAGAGTAAATTTTATATTGGCCGCACGTCCTTGATTCATCATCATATTGATGCAGGTGATGCCACTCCCATCCGGCAAAATTCGTTTCGGTTTGGTAGTAAGGAAAAGGACCATGTGCATAAGGCGGTCGACGAGATGTTGGCCGCCGACATTATTTCTACATGCACCAGTCCATGGGGAGCACCCATCGTTCTGGTTAAGAAAAAGGACGGGAGCATGAAATTTCGTGTGGATTTTAGAAAGTTGAACAAGGTCCCAATGGCTGATGCCTATCCGCTCCCACGGATGGATGATTCATTGGATGCCTTGTCGGATGCTCGATTCTTTTTCAACCTTGGATTTGCTGTCAGGGTTTTGGCAATTGCCCTTGGATGAAAGTTCCAAACTGAAAACAGCGTTTCGCACCCCACAAGGGCTTTTTCAGTTTAACTTTCTTTCGATGGGACTCCACTCGGCCCCTGCCATGTTTCAGAGGCTAATGGAATTGGTGTTATCGGGACTCCAGTGGGATTCATGCTTGATTTATTAGGATGACGTGATCATCTTTGGGCGCACGTTTCGTGAGCATTTACAGCGATTGCGCTTGGTGTTTGTCAGAAAGCGGGCGGAAAACTTGAAATTTAAGCTGCAGAAATGTCAAATGTTACAAAAGTCGGTTCGTACCTGGGGCACATTGTGAGTGAGGCTGGGATTGCCACGGACCCCGACAAAACTGCTTGTTTGCGCGCGTGGCCAACCCCCACGTCGGTGGGGGAAGTTCTCAGTTTTGCGGGATTCGCATCAAGTTTGTAACTGTCGCGAAGCTGCTCCACACTCACTGCGAAGGGTCAGAGATTTCGTTGGGAAGAGGAGGAGGGCGCTTTTGTTGCGTTGCGAGATGGTCTCGTGAACGCACCTCCCCTTCGGTACCACAATTTCTCCGTTCATGTTCGTGCTGGACACGGACGCCAGCGATACCGGAATAGGCGCCATGTTGTCACAGGTGGAAAATGGGGTGGAAAGTGTGGTCGCGTACGGGAACCGGGTGTTGTCTCCTTCAGAGCAGCGCTATTGCGTTACTAGCTGCCAGTTGCCGGCCATCGTCAATTTCGTGCAGGAGTACCGCCCGTATCTGTACGGTAGACATTTTGTGGGAAGCACGGCAATATGCACTGCGAGTTAAGCAACCGTCTGGTCAGCTCTCGAGCTGGTTGGAGGTTTTTCAGGATTACTCTCTCACAGTCACCTACAGAAAGGGGTCATGCCACTGGAACGCGGATGCTTTGTCACGGGTTGCCACCGGAAGGCCAGTGTGCGTGTTTGACTGGGTCCGGGCATTGTAAGCCGGTAGGTGATGGAGTGCCTTGTGCCACGGTAGCGTCTGTGGACGTTGCACCACCTGTAGCGGCAGTCGCACACGCGACAACACCATCAGTCTTGCGCTCGACGAGTGAGGGCGCCTCCAGGTGGAGGATGCCTCCCTTTTAAAAATGCGTCGCCGTGTCGGTACAGCGAGCAGCAAGAGGGGCCCAGGGGGTATGTCCCCAGCGGTCGTCCGGGATGGGCTGCTTGAGTTGGGATGCAGAAGTGCAGCGCCACTGCATCGTTGTGCCGACTGCCCTGCGGGGTAAAGTTGTGAAAGCTGCCCATGTACGGCTGATGCACCTTGGTGTGTAAAAGACTTTGTCTTCCTTGAAGCATGACTTATTTTGGCCCGGGATGTGTGATGACGTCCACAACATTCTTCAGGGATGTGTGGAGTGTGCGCATCAAAAGCCCCCACCAAGGCTAGCCCGATCGCTGTTGCAGTCTATTGGGGTGTCGCACATAAACGAGCTCGTTGCTCTTGACATCCTCGGGCCATTTCCCACCACGCCGAGGGGAAATAAATTGCTGCTCGTTGGAGTAGAATACCTGTCACGGTGTGCCGTAGCATGGCCCCTGCAGAATCAATCGGCTGCTTTAATTACTGACACTTTCATTCATGGGTATGTGCTCGACAAGGAGGCCCCAGAACGTCTCCTTATGGACCAAGGCCGAATTTTTTCTTCAAAGTTGTTAAAGTATGCGACCTATTCTGCACTAAGAATATTCGGACTTCGCCCTACCATCCCCAGACTGACGGGATGGTGGAGCGTTTGCATAGGACTCTCACGGCTATGTTGTGCCAGCAGGTCGACGAGGCACAGTCCGACTGGGACTTACACGTTCCGAGCGTCCTCATGGCCTATAGAATGGCCCCTCACGCCTCTACCAGGTTCACCCAGTTCTTTTTGATGTACGGGAGAGAGTGTGACCCCCCCATGGAAGCCCAGTTAAATATTAAGTCAAGTGCTAAAAAGATCGTTGTACCAGAACTCATGCGCCTCACGCTCAGACGCTTGACTGAAGCATGGGAGGCATCTTGTCTGAATTCGGCCAAACGGCAAACATTGAACGAAAAACTGGCGGGGCTTCGGGAGTCAGGGATGCTGTGGAACGTTGGGGAGAGGGCATGGTTGCACTGCCCCCAGGTGCCCTTGGGCACGTCCCCTAAGTTGCATAGACCGTGGCAGGGCCCGGTCGAGGCGTTAAAGGTCATTAGGCCCCAATGCGTTCGGATCCAGGTCGGTCGCAGACGCTGGTATCTACACCCGTCGTGGCTGAAACCATATTTTCCACCTTGTCATGACGTTTCATCCCCACTACCCCAAGGCCGGGTGGTTAATGTGCCTGACGAGCCCGGGCGTGCGACCACTGAGGTTGTGCCTCAGCGAATTTCTGTTCATCCACCCACAGGGATCTTGCACTTGATATCCAAGGAGCCACCCGTTACGCCGTCGGAAAGCCAGCCAAGGAGGAGGGAGCGGCTGACATCCACTTCTCTCCTCCCCCATCTTCTGTCCGGGACGGGCCGCGCCCATTAGGCCAACTTCAAGCCATCCTGAGAGCCCCCGGTAAACCCGCCCTTGTCCCGCCTGGGGGCCCGGAGATGAGAACCCGTTCCAGAACTCTAACGTTTCAATGATCGCCCCGTCATCTTATTCATTCCGACACTGCCTGGCAAAAGGCCACAGCTATGAGCCGGGCTGTGTTTGCCGGTTGAACTGGGTCCTTCCTGGGCTCGTGGGGTGTGGCAGGCCAGCGGTCGTCGGGTGCTATACATAGTCCGGGAGTGGGCTATTGGGGTGCATCACACAATGTTTTTTTGTGTTTTTTGTTGCTTGTTCTGCTGTTGTTGCAGTTGACTCGCGAGGGGGGGGTCACGGTTGTTGTTGTTGTCACCGGGATTGGTGATTGGTTGATGGTGGGTCGTCCCGCTGCGTGAGGTATAGGGGTCAGCCGGGACGGCTGCGTTATATAAGGGGGGGGGGGGGGGGCTAATGTAGTGATGTAAAACGGATCACTACGGTGCGTAGCGCTGCAGTATAACAGGGAAATATGGGGACAGCAGTTAGCACACTGTGCAGTACCACAGTGGGTCACTAAAAACGTGGTACCGCCTGCTAGCAGAAAGAGGCAAAGGAGCCCTACCGACAGAATAGGGAACAGCAGCCACTCCTCCAGCGCAGCGAGCAATTGCCGCATACTTGGTCACGAGGGAACGTGGTGAGGACTGCTGGCGGAGGGGGGATGTGAGGACGAGTCACCCTGGCTCCGGGTGAAGCGCGTTATGGGCCGGGGTGACGGGGTAGGGGGAACGGGTAGTGTAGCCGAGAAGCTTCTGGAGAGTTCCTGAGGGGGGCGGAGTACTTAAGGGCGGAGCCGAGCAGGTAGCATGTGCGAGGTTGTCGGGAACCTTCGGGAACGTTCCAGAAGATGGTGGAGCCAGGTCACGCCGAGAGGGGTAAAAGGGGAGCCCCGATCGCATATCGGTGCTGTCCGTGGGTGAAGTGGAACCGAGGTGCTGCGTCTACGTCTCCGTCATCTTGGGTCAGACAGTGCGTGGCTGCTCCGACCCGATTGTAGTTATCCCATATAGGAAAGAGATCGGTGTCTTATAGTCCCGTGGGTAACGAGAGTGAGAGGCAGGCGTATTAGTCCCGAGTGTAACGGTGTTTCGAGTAAAGTGTAGAGTAAACGTTGTTGCCTCCTAATAGTGTCTCTGAAAAGATTCACTACATATGTTCAGGAAGTAATGTATAATTGGCTCACAATTACATTATAATCTCATATATTTTTGATTCATGTAGTATCTAAATGTAACCGCGTTTCAAAGCCCTGCACAGAACAGTGGGAGGTAGCTATTCATCGGGAAAACGTTCCGAGTTAAAATTTGGGTCAGGCGTTGACTCAGCCCTTCATCGCTTCTGGGTCTATAAAATAGGTACCAGTTTGTAAGAAACATCTTATAGACCTACTTGAACGACACAGGAATGTGGACGTTCCACCACTCTGGCTCAGGTCTCTTAAATGGGGAATTAAGATTTTGCTACACTCTCATTTAATAATTAATACTAAATCAAAAGTATAATGTGCATTGCATCCTAGGTTCCCAATGCGCAAAAGCCGAGAACACTGTGGCTCGGGCGAATTCATGCTTTGTTGAACTTCGTTTTGAAAAGTCAAAGCATCTCCATGCTCTAAAAGACCACGTCAACACAATGACATTCCTGTCGCTATATATTCTTGGTTCTTTCGGTAAAGTCACGTAGAAGGGAAACATTAAAATAAGAAAAATATAAAACAATAAAATTATCACGACGTTTCGACTGCAACACAAGCAATCATCATCGGGTGTGAAAACCACAGCAAGAAAATGTGAAAATTTTTGAAACGTCGTGAGAATTTTATTGTTTTATATTTTTATTATTTTATTGTTTCCCTTCTACGTGGTGACTTTACCGAAAGAACCAAGAATATGAATCCCTGCAGTCACGAAAGCTTTACATCGACATGTATTCTTGTCGCTATTATGTAGAATGCTACAAAATGTAGCATTTTTTCAATGCAATGAAATGAAGTGCAAAAATGTGCTCAGCATTAAAGGGTGAGTATGTGCGTCTGTGAAAGAGGAGCGGTAGCGTAGTGGTTAGCGCACGGCGTTGTGAACCCACTGACCCAAATTCGATCCCCCTCACGGCCAATAACAGTGGCGAATATTTTAACTGTGCCTGGGTCTCCCCTAGGTTGACTCAGCCTTAATCGAGTAGCCGATGCGGTGTGTAAACATCAAACAGCACTTGCCCCAACAGTCCGTTAAAGGCTATACGGGGGATCTTTGTCGTCTTTGCGATTGCAGCTCGGCTGCTGTTGACAATGTGCCCGTCTCACTTATAGCTGGAAATCAAGATAAGGTGCGTGCATGATTGGCAGACTCAAAGAGTGTTCAAGCCCTGTTATTCCGTGGAAGCACGCAAAGGCGCTTTTACGCCGGACTGCATTGAGCATCAGTCAGCCAGCAATGCAAACTTAAAACAAAACAGGGGCATTTTTTTAAAAGGATTATTTTTTTTTGGACGAGTCAATTTCCCCCCGTCAGGCTTAGGTATTTTTAAACAGATTGGATTTTGGCATGCACTGCTCTCTGAAATGCACCGCAAATCCTGTGTTCACGATCCCACTCACGATGCACAGCACCAATGGTTGGTGAACCTCGACTGTGCCTTTCTGAGGAAGACTCGGCCTGAAAATGAGTGTACGTGTTTCAGTGCCTTGGCCAATAGTCGTACCGCGGGAGATTAAGGCTGCTGGGCTTGTGTGCTTACAGTCACACAGACCCCTTCCCTCAAGTGCCATGCTGACCTTAATAGGTGCTCGCTAGCATTATGTAAGTGTACAGACTGTAAATGGGGGGGTTATTGGCTCTTTTCTATGTTTTGCCCATGCAGATGGCCTCTCAGCTAAACTGTAAAATCATCACATTCCATCTGCGAAAATCTAATTTTTTTAAAGCACTTAAATATATATACATTTAGGAGGCATTATTCTGTCCAAGAACTGTTACAACCATTGCATCTCACAAAATTAATTACGACAAAACAGCTTGGAATCACATTAACATATTAATAAGAAGCTCAAGCCACAGAAACGCAATTGTAAACGTTGGCAAGAAGGGGGGGGGGGTGGAATTACTTACAAATGTACTTGTGAGAATAATAATAATAATCACTCGCATTATCCTTTAATTTAACGCCGACACCATGGGATAGGTTCCGCTCAGTATAAGGAGATGGCAACAACACACGGCCATTTGGCTCATCCACTCTCACATTCGAATCAAATTAATTTCCCCGACTTCAAGGCAATTTACATTTTAAGATCTTCACTCGGCATGCCGTCCTAACGACAAGTTAAGCAGCTGTATTGTTACCGGCCCATCAGCTTGAGCCCAAGGGCTCCGTGGGATGAACACACTCTGTGGTAACCTCCTCCTGCTTAGAACGGGGAAATTAAGTCGCGTGCCGTTTAACCATTCCGCGCGCAATTAAACCGAGACTTCACCTTGGGTTAAGATGTTGTGGCTTTTTCTCTCTCTCACTCTCTCTCTCTCCCCCTTTTTGAGGAACCAAATTGGCAACCGCGGGGTCCTCATTTCAATTCACATTTTTTGCGCATAGCTGGGATTTTCTCTGCTGGGAAAATCAACACTGATCATTTCCGCGGTGATGCGTGTAGTTTGCCATGAAAAAAAAAGACTACATTACAGCTCCTATCTCAGATCTAAGTGTGGGGGAGTGGTGGCGCAGTGGTCAGCGTGCTCTGTGCGCACGTTTTCTCTGAACCAGTCCTGGGGTTCTGATATCGCTGACCAGCATGTGGTGAAGTATTTTCGAAGCCCTCTTTTTCGAAAATCCCTCACAGTCGAGGATGAATGTCTTCCATCAGTGTCTTCAAACCCCTAACACCAAAATGGTATTCGGATGCCTTCATCCAAAAGTGAAATGACAAAAGGCTGTCGGTTGTGATTTTTTTTATCAGATGCACGAGCAGATTTTTGTTTTCATCAAATCCAATTATTACCGCAACTACAGTAATGCCATTCAAACATATGGAAGAAATAAACACTATGGAAACAAAAAAACACCCATTAAATTAACGAAACCACGTGTAAATACTATGAAGGACATCAATGCAATGTTGATGCCGCATTTATTAACGTATGGAACTCATGTTAAGGTTTCCTATAAATCAAATGTCGGTATAATCGTGCCTTCGAGCAAACCTGTGAACGTGTGTTAATTTCTTGATGCATTCAAATACATTTCTCAATTAGCTAGCAGACAAATAGCTATCGAATAAGCGCATGTGTTCATTATAAACATATTACCAAACTAACAAACTGCTATGTATGGGGGAATACACAGCACGGACTGTACACACCGCACTCCGGGTACCTAAATAGCTATCGGGAAATGTTTAATGGGGCATTTTCCAATTAATGTCATAATCGGTGTACCGATGTAATCCACGTTTTATGCAAGTGCCTCTAAAACGCCCGTAATTTACAATAATGTCCCAAGTACCTAACACTCATCATACCTTGTTTTTATTGAACCGTATTTCACGAGCATACTGATACCCTGCAGGGATCATTAATGTGTGCCAGCTACACCACGAAACACTGCAGACTTTATCTTGCTTTTGGCTGGAACATGTAAAATAAGGTCTACACAGAGGTGGGTAAAACTGATATTTTGTGGAGTGGGGAGGGGGGTAAGTAGATGGGAGAAATTGCGTAGTGGGTAGGTGGGAATAGGGAGGTGCATGGTAGGGTGTCACACGGATTTCAAGTTTGTTATATTCAAGGTTACGCCAAGGTGGGTACAAAAGTTGGTATGCTTTTAAGTAGGTAAATAAGTGGTATACGTAACAAAATTGGTACAAAAACATTAAAAACAACAAGCTGGTACCTATACTATTTAGATTATTTACAGACTGTGAGACCTAACCAGTGTGTAAAATGTAAACATATTTTGTACAGCATTAAAACATATGTGCTATATTTGTATAACTTTAACAAAACAGTCACGGTAGATGTGATAACACAACATAATAGAAGAAAAGTTAAACTTCAATCCCATAGAAGCTGTACCTAATAAATCAATGTGGCTAAATCGGAGTTTAAATATTGGTTAACATTTATAGTGTTGTCGCTTATTTTCCTTTGTTGGTCTACCCTGCTGCATTATTGTAAGCTGTAATGCAAGGCGACAAAGCAAAGATAAAATGACAGGTTAAACATAGCGCGCCTTTGGGTTCGGCTTTGTCGCTTTTATCGTGTCGTTTAAATTCACTTTTACTTTATTACAATGAGCGCTCTCTATTCTCCACTGTATGTGACAGCTCGACCATCATCTTCATCAGCAGCGACGCGGAGGCGATGGAGGCCCACGTGATTTCCACATTGGTCATTAATAGAGCACAGTCATACAGATTAAAAAAAAATACACTCAAAATAAAATTTACATTAACCGGTGGCAGCATGCGCAAAGCAACTCAGCAATTGTAGAGTTAATTATCCTATGCGGCCCAGCCCCCCGTGTTCTAATTACATGTACAATTTATACTTGCTGACGAGAACATTTTGCTCAACTCTGACGGACAGGATGGATGGCTACGGCTCAAGGGACACAGCCGACGTGCGGACTGGCCGGTGGAGACGCGCACCGGCACGCTCGTCGCGCGGCATGGAGACGTGGCGGGTGCCGCACCTGCACCCCAGTGTTCATTACATTAACTTAATTGGTGGTGATGTTCGTCAACGAAGACAATATTCGTCAACAAAGTGTTGTGTTTCATACTTTGTACCAGTCAACAGTGACTATGAGCAGATGAATATCAACAACCACGGCGATGATTGCAGCTACGCATAAAAGGCCTGGGCATGGCCGACGAAGACGAGGCGAAACCAACGCACAAAACTAAGAAGATTTCGTCACAGTATTGAGAGATGGCAGTGAAGGGAGACCAAAACTGTGCATTGGCAATATATGCAGATAAATATATATACCAAGTTTACCAATTAGCTGACCTAATAATCCGAGAGGGGGGAAAAAAAGTGCACACTCGAAGAGCGAAATAATATTCCGGCTGCTTTAGTCGAGTAGGCTAAGATAATTGCTCAACGAAATCCACAGACTGAGACTCCAACAATGAAATTGCACAGGTTGTCGTCGACAAATGTAACAATGGCTAACTGAATTAATGCCGCCGCCGCTGCAACTTTTGACCGTTTGTGAAGCGAAAGATAAAACGCGCAGTCGCGCGCCGCGTCCAAAGTTTTGCTCTTATCGTGCGACAACGCGGAGAGTTGCTCGCAAGGAAAATGCTCCACTTTGTAAACCCTCATCATCATCGCAGTGCTCGCTCGACTGCAAACATCCGCCCCCCCACCCACTCCGTGCAGTCCTGCAGCAGAGTACCAGGCATAGCCAGCAAGATAAGAATGGAAATGCATCATTCTGGTCGGCGGTCAACTTAGCCCATGATCCCTCCAAGGTCGGTAAAGCCAGTGCCATTTTGGAGGAAATGAACAGTGGTGTTTTTTTGGATTATCCACGTTCCTGCATCAGGAATGGGGAATTTTCACCCCTAGCTGGGGAACATCTATGGAGGGTGGCGTCACTAACCCATCGCTTGTGTGTGGGGAATACACGCTGATCGCATCATGAGCGCTGCCCACCAACGGGCTGTCTTTTGTCATACGGTGGAGTGCTTTGACGGTGGAATTGTGTTGTTAAAAAGTGCGAATACCAAAGTAATGATTTACTGGAAATATTATCGTAAATTAAAATTACAATTTACGTTTTCTTTACATCTCTTTTTTATAATATAATTCCACAGGTAAATAAATTGACAAAATTGCAGTGCAAAAAATATTAAAATATTGAAGATATATTGCCTTTGTGTGTAGCACAACAGTTTTTTTTTCTGTTAATTGTTTTAAAACATATAAACATATTTTAATTAGTGATCCACAAAACCAAAACGTGAAGTTTATTTTTTTTTGCCATAAGTCCATTGAAGTGGTACAATTTTAAACAAGCTGCATTTCCTGTGAGATTTATTATTTCGACTGTGCTCTCGGCGTCGTGACACAAGATTAAGAATCCTTTCAGAGATTTCGCATAGCAGGGCAACCCTCCGTGTTGAAGAATGGCCCACACAAGTGGATATCACAGAGCAACCACCGAGATCCCTCGAAGTGACGTCTGTTCCAATGAGAGTGAAGTTCACCCCATGACAGCGAAATTGATTTTCGAATTTGCAAAGCTGGAATTTCGCTATATTAAGTGCACAGCCATACTAACGTGATTGTGTTTTATACAGCAGCTTTACGACCCGGCTTCGCCCGGGACTTGGATTCACCACGGCCGCGATGTTCACACACCACACCAGTTACTCGTTTGAGGCTGCGTCGACCTAGGGGAGGCCCAGGACCGGTTCAAATAATCGTCACCGGTGGTGGCCGTGAGCGGGAATCGAACTCGGGTCGCCGGGTTCGTAGCGCGGCGCGCTAACCGCTACGCTACAATGCGTTACGCTTCCACATGCGTGGGTCACATGACAGATTTGACGTCACAGCTCACTTGTGCAAAAAAATTCATTATTGAGCTCCCCCCCCCCCCCCCCCCCCCAAAAAAAAAGTGTATTTTTATAAATTTTGCATGGTGTACAGTCTGGAAAGTACCCACATGGCAAATTGCAAGTTTGTTGCCTGTCGGGAAGTACACTAAACATTTTGAACAGACACACATTCACAACTTTGCCTTTTATATATATGGAGATTGGTAACTAGGCTGAGCGAATGTTAGTAATGTTGTACAGTTTTATTTTACAAAGCTTTTAATTAGCTTTGTTTGCCATTATAGTTTTCAAGAATTAAAATTTCCATTTAGTCTGAGCCTTGCTTGCGGCATTATGTATCACTTCCATGGGAAAGTGTGACAGTGTAATGAGTTCGTGTGCAACAGAGTGAGAGAGTGTGCATCCCATGTGTAACTATGGCATTTTAATAGCATCTGGACCAAACCAGCTTTGTCTGAAGCAGAACTTGTGGTTACAATGTAACTGGTATTGGGCCAAACATCCCAATGCTGAAAACATGCCTTCAAATCACTCAATTGGGATCACACGTAGCAACTTTTCCCACTCCTCTGAATACTTGACAGGACCCTCCTGAAAAAGTCTTAAGACTCGGTGAGGCTTACCGGGATATACAAGTGTAGTAGTAATAATAATGGTGGCGATGCTATCCCATTAGGGGACCCGAAGCAGAAATTATTGGAGGCCACATTTTCAACTCATAACATTCCAGTGAGATGGCAGAAGAGAGATACGGATGATAGAGTTTTGGTCAGATGAGAGATGCAGACAATATAAGTGAATTAGCTCATTTGGCTTATTCGGATTTGAACGCGAGATGATATTTGATGTACCCATATGTATTTTTCACTCAAATGGCGTTGCCCCTTTAGTTATTTTGGGCCCTGTGCTTGTGCTTGCTTGGTGCGCTCGTGGCCGGCTCACGCCATTGAGTGGGACCATACAAGGGCAGCGGCGTTCGTTAGCAAAATATCAACCGTGTCAAAGTTTAAGGTCACATTCCACACAATTGCATGCAAATGACATGTGCACTGGAAGGCACATGTGCTTTTTTGAAATACGGGTCAAACATTTTTTTTTGGCCTTTTATTTTCATACTCGCTTTGAAATCAGTGTGACGTACACCCCCAGCTGCTTAACATATATATTATCAATCAGCAGTATAAAGAGCTACAGGGCTAAAGGACGTCTGTCCTTTGGTTTTCATGACTCTGTGTGCATGTATTATGCACTTCGTCTATGTGCAAATACCCGACACCCATTCGTGTTTGTACCTTGTGCGCGTTAAACGGAGGTTACTCGTCGTGTATATTGTGAGTGGTGCATGATATCCGAATATAGTCTGGGCCTGCTCTCGGTCTGACTCGGCCTTAAATAATAAACTGGTGCCTGGCGCAGTGCATCAACATCAGCATAAGAGAAAATAAAGGTGGCTGGGCATGTTTGGCGTTGGTACGAGGAGCGTTGCAATGCATCCATAACTATTGATTCTGCAGCTCAGGATACAAGCGTTGAATCGCATGTGGAGTATTGTTTGTTACGCTTGTTTACCCAGGAAAATGTCACCGAGTCTCGTGACTTACTTCAGGGCGGTCCCTGAATCAATGTTTTTTTTTATTCATATGGTCTAGGTAAGGCGCTCATCTGAACTCGTACAGCCACTACAGGCTGCTTTTATTCATCACAACCTTTAAAAAAATGGATTGTTCGATTGAATTGTGACCTTGAATCGTGACAATTCATTGTTACAGTAACCCATAGTTAGCATCATCACCCCTTGTAACATATGTCAATACGGGCCTTGTGTAGTAAAAAATAATTCTAGTGATAATCATTCACAGCCAATCCACTACTCATGGAGGGCCTCCTGACACTTTGTTGATCATGGGGGTTGTTTGACCTTACTTTACCATGCTGGTCAGTGCGGGTTTGTAAAGAGTGCAATGTGGAGGGAAACCTAGGACTGGTTAACGTATAAACTATTTTATTTTACTATTTTTATTTTACCAGCCAACTGAGCCGTATAAATCTTTTTCAGAAGCGACCAGGCCACAAATCATAGCCCAAGGAAGTGGCTTATCGTGTGGAAATTTATAGCAGCCAAATACTCTAAACGCACGTGTTGATTCTAAATGTGGAGGGAAAAATCTGAGGACCCAGAGAAAAATCCACGCGACCAGGGGCAGAACATGCAAACTCCAAATATACAGCAGGCGTCAGTGTCGGGATTGAACTCATGCCCTCCTGTATACCAGGCGAGGTAGTTAACATCTCGTCACCATGCTGTGTGTAAACCACTGCGCTACCACACCACTCCTGCATTGGAAAAACATGTTCCAGTTAATATGAAGGCTATACAGTGATGTATTAATATTACTGCCACTACTAATACTAATCTTAATATCATCAGCAGCATCACACGCATCAATAACGAAAACAAATTCTATCATGACAATAATGACAATGTTGACCCCACAGCACAGTATGATAACACATCTCAACATACCGGCAAATCCATATTCTTTGGGTCTTTCGGTAAAGTCACGTAGATAGATTCCAAGAAAATAACAAAAAACGACGACGTTTCGATCGCAACGATCGCTTGTGTTGCGATCTCAACGTCGTGACTTTACCGAAAGACCCAAAGAATATGAATCCCTGCAGTCACGAAAGCTTTAAGTCAAGATTCATACCGGCAAATGTAAATAGGGGGGATACAATAATAGTGCATACACCCGTAACGGCTTCTAAGTGGTGCTTTTAAAGCTTGCAAGTCTGCCTGACACCCCGACATCATTACGAGACGTATCTGTTAAGGCCGCCCTAGACGGAACCATCAGCTTTGTCATGCAAGCATGACTTTATCTAAATTCAATCTCGCGAGTCGCATGCGGGGATGGTTGTGGGCGAGTGTAGCCTCTGCAGCAGCAGCAGCTCAGCAGCACGGGAAGGAGTTCCCAATGAGCGTCGCTGACAGTTAAGGTCACGGAAGAGTTTCGCTTTTAGAACGCGCATCAAATCCACCGCACCGGTCGCGTTACAACATTTTGTAACGCGGCTTCCTGCCGTATTTAATTAGGGGTGGGGTGGGGGAGGAACCACCACCGTGCTACGCTCGGGTCTTCTGTGAAAGCCCGCGGGGGGGGGGAGGGGGTCATTCTAAGAGACATTCCGCTCGGGGGGAACACAGACATTGTGCCTGGGAAGTTATTTCATTATATTGCGGCCAACCCAGATTCTCAAAGAGATTTTGAGCAGATGCAACAACAACAAAATGAAACGAACTGCACAAACTCATAGGGGTTGATGTGTGTGTGTGCGCGCGGTGTTTGTGTTCGAGACCGTACAGCCATCCACAACCTTTCAGTGCCGTATGCGATAGCTCTCCGGGAAAGAAAAAAAAAGACAATAACCCGTCACAACATCAATACCGCACCTGGTGCTCGGAGATATAGAGAGAGCACTCTACAATGGTCGAGATGCTTGTCGCATGGAAAAGGGTGGAAAAAATTCGTAGGTATTTGTGTACATACTTTCACACACGAAAGCAAAACAAATAATATCCCTTTAAAAAAAAGAAATATACAGTTTATGCAGCACTATATCAACGTAACATTGTTAACCCATGACCAAAATTCGGAAGCTAAGCGCACAGATGAGCCCAAACAGTGTGCTGGGATGGGTGACCACTGTCAATAAAAACGTGGTACTGTATAGGCTGCTGCGAGACTACATTGTGGGTAACAAAGGGTAGTGCAGCAACATCTATTGTTCTGTCCCATACTCCTACGTCTATGCTGTCCCCACCTTCACCAATCCGAAGTGGCCAGTGCAGTGACGTATGGTCAATCAACCCCCGCAAAACAGCGTGGGGAGGGTCCCATCCAGCAGTGGATTGACAAAAGGGGCCCGTAAATGTGCATATGTTAACCGACGTGGTGGTGGCGAATTCATCTCGAGCTAAAATCCCACTCCATCCATCATCCATCTGGGGAGGATACAAATAAATTAATACTTAGCAATTATTTAATGATTGGACTTGTCCCTTACCAAAGGGATGGGTGATTTATGGTGATTTTCACCACCAGTTCAGGACCACCAGAGATCCACAAATGCCCAACGTCCGTTTAAGACGGAAACCAGTTAGGCATTCGGATTCATCGCTTGCCTTCGATGCTTAACAAATTAGCACATTTGGTATTCGCGACATCCTAAAGCTGCAAGGCTATTACGGAGGTGCTGTTTCGTAGTCTGCAGTAGCTTCACAGTGGGGTTGTGATGTTGCCGTGTTTAATCCGAATTGAATAATTGAGACCGTGTGTGAATGTATGCTGAACCTTTTTCGCACCGTACGTAGCAGCCAACCGTGCAAATCAAAGGTGATGCCAGCACACAGTGGCCTACCTTTGTGGGATTCGTGTCGTGCACCGAGAAGCAGACGATGCATATATTACCGTCAATATATAAAGGTAGCTGCAGTAATAACTAGAGCGGCCTGCCAGATGCGAATCACGAACTACAGGGCGATGTCAAACACGTAATGCAGGAAATACAGTGGACGGGGTTACTGCTGCTAGTGCTGAATATTTAACAATTCCGTCATGCGCGTAAATACGTAATGCATTCTGGGGATATTCTCAGAAACGATTCGGCTGGAGAGATGTAAAGAGTGGTGGGAAATAATATATACGTGCCGGTATAAACCCGACTCGTTGTACAGCGGAGCGCGTTTCCCTGCCGCTTCACCTTTGTGAAAACGTCGCAGCAAATGAGAGTAAAGGATCTACTCTTGAAACGAGCCG